ACTTACATAGCATTTAGTGGCATAACATAGTGATTGTATTTATAATTAGTATTAACCTATGTAATAGTAATAATACAGTGAGCTCAGCTCTTTATCTGCATTATTCCATAAAGGCTTCCTTCTTATACTGTTTTGCAAGAGAGGAAAGTAAGGTTTAGAGAGATTAAAAAAACTGCTAAAAATCAGGACACTACTGGCAGAGTTGGGATTTCAGCTGGTGTATCTAATGCAAAGGCCTGTACTATTAATTTCTCTGTGGCTCCGCTGATTTAGTTAAGGGGTAGAAAAGGAAGAACTAGAAGAAACAAGCATATGTTCTGGAGTCTGTATCTTAAAAAGATTTATTTGTAATTCGTATACTAATTTGTTGTGCCCTTTACCTTAGACATGTTTTGTTTGCTTGGTTGTAACCTTCTCCCCAAGGATCAGGTCTTTCTTTGACACATCGTTTTAAACATTTAAAAAGCTGAGATCCTTACAAGTCACATGGTGGTACGTGAACCTCTCAAGGAGATATGTGAGCTCAAATTCCCAGAACACAGCTAAGGGATGGATACTGCTGTCCATAGGTTTAGTGCTTAGAGGAGCACTGTTTTTGCTGTGGACAGTACTGCAGGTATGAAATCATCCGAACAGCCAGACTGGGGTAGAGGTCTCTGCTGGCAGCTCATGGTTGCCTCGAATTCCTAGTTTTCTGAAGTTACCTATGGCATATTTAGAGAAAATTTAAATAGCATAATTAAGATATATTTTTAAACATTTTAAGCTCATTCTTAAGTTTATGATAGTTCTGATGAAGAAAGGCTAATTATGGAAACCCCATTAGTGGTGCTTCTTCTGGAATAAAAAAAAAGTAGATGAAACAAGTGGCATGACAACTTTTTAATCCTAGACAGAACATTTTTAAAAGTCAGTAAGATCAATTACAGACTATAAAACAACTTTCAGTATTATCCTGCTGTTTGTGAGGGTATGGGATATCCCAAAATCTTAGGAGTATTACAGTGATTTATTTTCTTCTAACCTTCTGTTTTCTAAGAATTGTATAATAATATTGTATATTTTTGTATATCACTGTTTAAATCAGAAAATGTGTTGTTTAAAAAATGCATAACAAAATCTACATTAAGCTAGAATTAAGCTACAAGGTGAGACAAGGCTATTTTAAGAATAGAAATTTGCTTCAAATTTGTTTAAATATTAGAGATCTTTAAATATACTGAAATCACTTGTTGTTAAAACCACAAAGACATTTATCCATTTTTATAACTTATGTTAATTTCTATTTTTCACTACCAACATCTAGATTTTATTGTTTTCAAAGAAATTTGGACAGAATTGAGCTAGAATGTATATTCTATTCTTAGTTGTATTCTGTTAAGTATCTGATTAACTCTGTCAGAAGTAGAGTCAGTAAACTTTTTTTTTTGGATGGTGATATTGAGGATTTAACCCAGGATCTCTGCACTGAAGTACATCCCCAACCTTCTCTATGTTGTGACATGTCCTATCTAAGTGGCTAAGTTGCCTGGGCTGGGCTCAAATGTCTGATTCTGCCTCAGCTTCTGAAAGTACTAGGATTACAGGTATGTGCTTTGATGACTGGTTAGTAAATATTCTTTTCAATGAAATAATAATAAAAAAAATTCATTAGGAAATGAAACAATAAAATTAAAATTCATTAGGAAGTGAGCCTAGTACATTAAGTCTTCATATTCAGATGTTATAGCCTAGCAGAAACTGAAAAGAAATTTCCTTTGTTTCTTATAAATTTTATTCATTTGTTTTGTGGATCAACCCAGGACGAATATAATAGCATCTCTGAAGGGCATGAGATTCAGATGTTAAAAATAAATGACCTCCTAAATTGCTGGCCTGCTTTGTAGAGACAGGATCTAAAAGGACTCTTGATATTTTTGTTACAGACTGTGGCTTATGACCCCACAGACTATGAATAAGTAGGTTAAGTGGGATACTCTTACATTTCCATCTAGGGTGCAAATATGATTAAGCGCTTAAATTCAAATTTAGTTCTCTTGTTGAAGAACATGTAAACTCACTCCATGGGGTTGCAGGTAAAATAAAATAAAAATGCACAAAATAAAACAAACTTAAGAGTGGTTACAAAATACTCTATGAAGTTACTTACTTTCAGAAAAGCAAAGACACCTCTGGCATTCTCAGCGTAGATGATATAAGTTTATCCTTCTCTAAACTGAAGCTAGAATCTTGATCTTAAGGAGCTTTGACTCATAGAATTCTCAAAATTTTAATCTGACTGAAGTGACAAATTGTGTTGAATCTAATCTGGAACTGCCCTGGGTCTTACTAAATGTTTGTTCATGGACAATGGTTTTTCTCGTGGGTGATGTTTTGAACTTAGAAACTGATGATGACGTATGTTTTTAGAAGTCCTATATTGCTTATGTCTGAATCAGCAGTAGGTTAACACTCCTGACTTGTTCCTGTTTTGATAGCTCATTCTGTAAATTTTCTAATTTTCCAGTGATTCAGTAAGACTTGTTAGAACCATTTTAAAATACCAATCTCCTCGTGTTGAAGGTGGCACCTGAAACCACACACTATTTCAGCAGTGATAATCAGAAAGCCTACTTTTCATTTTAACAGTTAATAACATGAGAAGGATTTATGTTGGCAACACTTTTCAAACTGTATTATGATGTGATGACACATTCTGTCAGTTATCTAAGAATCACATCTTCATGAACAATAGCCTCTAGACATATAGTGTGATTATTCTTTTTTTAAAATTTTATTTAAAGAAAGACTAAACAAAACAGAAAATGGGTAGAAATAATACATACGTTCAGAGAAAAAATAAACAGTAAAAAATCATTAGTTAATGTTTACATACTGTCCTTTTACAAATAGTTGTTTAAGATACAAAAGTGGAACATATAAAGTGGGAATTCAAACAGAGAGACTGCAAACAGTTCTGTTCAACTATAGTGTGATTATTCTTTTAAGAACTAATGTCTATTTTAATTTTCTGAGGAATTTTTCTCTGACTCTACTAAATTACAGAATATGTAATAGTATGTTCTCATTTATGTGTTTTTTCTTTTGTGCTAAATAGGTTCTTAAATAGGAAAAAGAAATTGATGAAACAGTAAAACTGTTGGATAATTAGCATTATTTTTAAAATTGAGAAACAATGACATTTATTTCTGTTTCTTACCACACTAGTTCTTTTGGTGGGAAATAATACTGTAGTGATGATAAGTTCTCATCTTAGCCTTTACTTACACGTTGACTATAAGGGAGATGTATGATTCATTCTCAACTAACATTCATTGATTTGGTAACAAAAAAGCCTCTTTTTTAGTTGAAAGTCACAAACTGTCATTTTTTATTGCTGAGTGATCCCAAATATAATCTTAATCTCATTGATTGGGAACAATTGATCCTAAGGGGTATTGGGCTATAATAATAAATTTCCCTCAGTTGATTGCTTATGTTTCATAGATTTTTCTGTTTGCCTTTTTTAAAAGAGCCAGCTACACTAAATTATAGTGTTTTTGTCCACATGTTGCAATGTCACTTTCCTGCTCACTTTAAAACTCACGCATGCCTACTTTGTCCTACTGTGTTGTTAACTCAAGCTTCATTTCTTTCTGACTGTTAATCACTCATGTTAATTTGCATTTGCTGTATTTGAAGAAGTCAGATGAACCTGAAGATCATGGTCTATATTGCTCCACCTGTTTAAAGGCACCGAGGTGTCACTTTGATTTCATGGTACTGACGTGTGATATTTTGGAAAAAAAAAAGTCCTCTAAGAAGACTCTAAAATTATTATTCTGAGTTGTGTCTGGCCAGTGCTACTTCCATTGTTCAAACTGAAAAATGGAGACGCTTATAATTGGCCATGTGCTGTTTATTTTTTTCTCTGAATGTATGTATTATTTCTACCCATTTTCTGTTTTGTTTAGTCTTTCTTTAAATAAAATTTTAAAAAAGGTCCTGTTTTCTGGGGCACTCCTAGAGGTATGGGAACAGACATTTCAGTTTTTAAGAAAACGTGTAGGAATGGACAGGGTTAGGGTTACTGTTAGAGGGTGAGGGTTCAGTAGAAGTCATTCTAATTAATAGCTAATAAAATGGAGACTTGAGTCAACTGGCCTGGGTTTAAACCCTAGCAGAACTGTTTCCTAACTATATGGCCTTAAATAAGTATTTGAATTTTCTACACCTCAGATTGTCCATATACAAGATAGAAAACAAGCTTGCCATAGTATCTGCCTAGGGTGTTGTAAGGATTAAATAAGATAATGCTTTTTAAATCCAGCATGGAATAATCTCTCAATATATATCCCTAACCATTAATTTGTTGCATTTCAATATAATACAATATGTTATGTCTACTTGGACTTGTGGGAAATTCATGTTCTTCATATTTATGGAAAGGTTGTATCAATGTGTTTAAATTACAACCAAGGAACTCAATCTTTTGTAACATCCCTTAGTCTTTGAGCATGTTTCTGGTGTAATTTTATGGTCCTCAGATAAACAGTGACTTCTTTTGTAACTAGAGAAAGTTTAGTTTAGAATACAACTCAGCAGTCTACAAACATTCTGGACACAGGACTAGGTTTCTCTTTATGGAAGCAAACAGACCATATTAATACTCTTCTACTCCAAAGAAGTCAAAGTATCTGCTTTCCTAAAGGACAGAACCCCTATTTTTTCCAAGCGTAGTGAAAACCCTGCTGCTGTCTGCCTCTTCCCACAGTACCCATAAATATGCTGAGGCTATTTATTTTGTCAGATGGGATCTGAGACCCTGCTGAAACAAGAGATGCCCTCAGTTTTGTATTGCCCTCAAGGTCTGCCACAAACCACACTTGGGAGAGGAAAAAAAGTTGCCATGTAAGCAAGTTTGCCATTCACTAACAAGGAAGTTAAAACATACCCGTAAGTGATGACTCACCAGTACGGTCCTATAAAAGCAAAGGTCCTCGCTGGGAGAGGCAGCAGCCTCCAGGCACAGCCTTCCAAGATGCGCCCAGTTGTCCTGGCCACCTTCCTCTTCTGGAGCTGGGCTCATTGTCGGTCCTTGCCCCTGCCGAGCGCTGAAGATGAGGAGGACTTGTCTGAAGAAGACCTCCAGTTTGCAGAGGTAGAGTCCTTTGCCATTCTTGCTGACATGCTCTATCCCTTAAATTCATGTTCCTTTTAAAAGCTGATCGTTTTGTTCTCTGTTCTAGCGCTACCTGAAATCATACTACCACCCAGTAAATCTTGCGGGCATACTGAAGAAAAGCGCGGGAAGTTCCATGGTTGACAGGCTCCGAGAAATGCAGTCCTTCTTTGGCTTAGAGGTGACAGGCAAGCTTGATGACAACACCTTAGATATCATGAAAAAACCAAGATGCGGGGTCCCTGATGTGGGAGAATACAATGTTTTCCCTCGAACACTCAAATGGTCCAAAATGAATTTAACTTACAGGTAAATCATAGCCTAGTTTTTCTTAATATTTGTTAGCTTTTTCTTGCAGTATTAAATGTCAAATATTAAAAACAGGCCTTAACCACTTAATTGGAAGTTAAATTTAGGAATAGCTTAGAAGCTGTTGCTGAGAATGGCTTATAACATCTGTTATTATAAAACTAATCTAGCACAGTTTTTCAGCAAAAATCTCAAGGTATTTCTTCTAAAAATATCAAATTGGAGTACTAGTAGATTTAAGGAAATTTGCAAGTGTATTAATCAATAGTATTTTATAATAGTTCTTAGAAAGTTCAGGCTTTCTAGAAATTTCATGGAGCTATTTAATGTGGCTATGTTAATAAATTCAACATTGCAAGCATGTAAAATGGGTTGTACTATTCATCTGAATATTTTTCATTTGTGATGGAATATATGCAGATATTTAGAGATGACTGAATATCTGATTGAACTTTTCATTTTTAGTCTTCTTTGACATCACAATTAATAAATTCTGCTTCATTAGAACTTTTATAAAAGCCTTTGCGGTTTGAGTTGTCAAGCAGCATTCCAAGAAAGTACATTTTCAAACAGCTAAATATATTCACAAATACTCTAGCCTTCCGAAATTTAATTGAAAACTCTTCTGTTGAATAGAATTGTGAATTATACACCTGATATGGCTCCTTCTGAAGTGGAAAAAGCATTCAAAAAAGCTTTCAAAGTTTGGTCCAGTGTGACACCTCTGAATTTTACCAGACTTCATGAAGGCACTGCAGATATCATGATCTCTTTTGGAACTAAAGGTACCCATACAGAATTCTGCTTGAAACATTTTATATTCTAATGACTTACTTGGTTCCATTTTCAAATTCCTTCTCAGTCACTCATGTTTGCAGTGTTAAATGACAATTCACGAAGCCCCCATGCTTGGTATTACTGGATATAATTAGATCCTTACTCTTGCTTCTGTATGTAGAACATGGTGACTACTACCCATTTGATGGACCCTCTGGTCTGCTGGCACATGCCTTTCCTCCTGGACCAAATTATGGAGGAGATGCGCATTTTGATGATGATGAATACTGGACAGATAGTTCCAAAGGTAATTATTTCTTATAAAGATATAATTCTTGGCTTATTAGATTAGGTTACATAGTAAACCTGGTTGTACAGATAACTTATATTTAGTATATGATTATATTTTATAAAAAAATTGGTTTAGCTTATACTTGTTATTGTCTCCACAAGTGACATTTCTACAAATCAATGTTCAACTTTAAAAATGAATACATTCTACTTAATAAGACCAGAATGTCTTTCTTGTCTGCTAAGGTATTGTTACTGTGGATGATTTTTTTGAAGTTGTTGAAGAAGTATAGTATATATATGAGAGAGAGACAGACAGACAGACCACCACTCTACACACACACACATACACACACACACACACACACACACACACACAACTGAATTGGATGTAAATCAAAATATTTTTCTTTGGCAAAAATATTAGTGGCATAAGTTATGTCAAATTTCTGTCTCCCAGTGTGTGAGTTACTTGTTTAAGTTTTATCTGTAGCACTCATTTTATAAATATCACTCTGGGAAATCAAAATAATGTCTTACTCCAAATAGTATATTACAGATAAGATGAAGATTATATTTGTAAGAGTAAAACAAAACTGAGTGTTGAATGAATTAATTTAGCAGTTGCATGTTCAAGGCCCAAATTAATTGGGATGTTAATTTAGGAAGAAAATCCATAGGTAATCCCAATTTGGATTTAACTTTGGAGCCGGATAGATCCTTAGGACAACTAGAGGCAGTCTTCATAGATAGCTGATTTTTTTTATTATGTATCAAAATGAAAATCATTATTCTTCCCATGAGTAAAATTGAGTCATAAATGATTAATGTCTCAGTTTCAAAGCACCCAATCCATATTTGGAGGGAGAAAAGGTGAGAATTTATACATTCACACTCTGGTAAGCATAGTTTTAGGAAGAAAGAATAATATCTATAATGGTGAAGGCAGAGTCATAGTAATCTTCAGACTTAGGTTACTGAGTAAATACTGGGCTTGAATTATTTAATGAAATAAATGAAATTTTCAGCTAATGGCCAAGAATGATATCCATTACTAGTCATTTCAGTAAAGAATTACAGTCAGCTCAAAAGATCACTGATAGCCCTGTGATGTGCAAAATTTGCTAAGTTAGCTCATTTTCTTCATGCACAACCTGTGACAACAAAATGCTTTTTAAGGTCAAACTAAAATCACTGGCTCCAACTTTTATGTGGTCTAAGCGGAAGGAACCTGTTGTCTTATGTATCTTATTTTTAAAAACGTCTTTGATTATTCTTTCTTACAATTTAAAAGTGCAGCAAATTGGTAGAAAGAATGACTAAAGGCAGCAATGTAAATAAAGGAGCACAGTCATATTCTAGACTAAAGGAGGGATAACCAATCATGCTCAGAGTTTCTTTTTCTAAATTCTAGCACCCAGAAATCTCTGGAAAGGATAGTTTAGCTGGATTTTGTTCCCAAGGGTATAGCCAAGGACTGTGTAGTGCATCTTCCTTGCTTGGTCATCATCTCTGTGACTGCGGTCTCCTAGGATGGTGATCTAGGCTGCACCCTGTCTCTGCCCAGCCCTGTGTGTGCTCTCACTGCTGATTCAAGGTCGTGTCTCCACTTCCTTCACTAGACCTAAAACTACAAAGAGCAAATCAGGGTCAAATTTGGTTTGCTCTTTCTTCCTAACCAGTCCTATTGTCTTTACATCAAATCCTTATTGGTTGCTAGTTATACGGCAGTAACCTATTGATATCACTGTAGGTGTTTGGCTAATTGTGCAGGCAGCTATAATAAAAGGAAAAAATTAATCATGAGAATTAAGTTAATATTTTGAATCTTCATGCAACAACATATGGTGAAAGAGAAAAGAATTATGGGGAAGATAATATTTATTTTCATTAAGTGGTCATTGGAGCGCCTTACTGTTTTTATTGCTTTTTCTTTTTTTTTTTTTTTCCTTACAGGTTACAACTTGTTTCTTGTGGCTGCCCATGAGCTGGGTCACTCCCTAGGTCTTGAGCACTCTAGGGACCCAGGAGCGCTCATGTTTCCCGTCTATACCTACACTGACAAGAGCCATTTTGTGCTTCCTGATGATGATGTCCAAGGGATCCAGTCTCTCTATGGTAACTTTTAATTTATCAGTTATAAAAGCAGAATATAATCAGCTATAAAATTAGTCATGTAAGCACAATAAACACATACATTTACTTTCTAAATTACTGCTGAATGTTCTCTGCCAATAATGCTGTTTTTATTTTATTATTAAAACCTGAGGGAAAAACTAGCCATTTTTTCTTTCTCAGTCAAAACCAGTCCAGTTTTCTAGGATAGAAATCACTCAAGTAGCCTTTGGTAGTTTTAACCAATATCCTCAATGATAGTGTAAAATTTTTTCTCATCAATTTTCAGTAACATTTACAAAATAATTAAACCTCAATCCAAATATTTATTTATGGGTTACCTGCTATAAAGAGAATTAAAGCCACTATGCACAGTCATCTGTGTAAACATTCCTGAGCAAAAAACTCAAAAAACTTGATGTTGTTGAGCATCATTTTTCCATCTGTATTTAAATTTTCTATTACAGCTGATTTAAGTGAAGGCATAAACTTGAAGGCATCATAGAAAAATTTACAATTCATTTTGCTGTTCTTTTTTGTATTGTGTCATGTTGCAGTTAAAGCATTATGGGTTATGATATACCGTGTGTCAATGCATGTGACCGGATATAAAACTTACAAACTTGGGACTGGTCACCTCACTCTTGTCACTGGGAAGCAGCTGCACTGTGGTAAACTAGTGGAGCAATATCAGCTGCTGTTGACAGTTAGTAAACTAGACAAGTAAAAAAGAAAAAGCCAAGATGAGAGCTCCCACAGAGACCGTGTGCCACCAGAAATGGCCTCAAGAGGAATGTGTTTCTCCCAAACCATCTGACAAGAAGTTGTGCAAGGTGTGAGGACAATTTTTCAGTTTATTGCTTTCCTCCATTTCTAAAATCAACCTCAAGAAGTCTAAATTTATAGTTCAGCAAGATTTGAAAACGTCTTGAAAATACTCCTTTGCCAAGACCTTGGTAATACTAGAGGAAGGAAGGAAGTTACAGGGCATTTGCGCTTGTGCTGTACACAGAAGCCTCAGGACTTCTTGCCTTCCCAGGGCAAACCCTCACCACTCTACTAGCAGGCTCAGCCTGTCATCTACACCTTACATCATCAGGAAGGTCAGCATCAGCAACTTCTCATGTTTGTTTCCTGACCGCAGGTCCAGGAGATGAAGACCCCAACCCTAAACATCCCAAAACACCAGACAAGTGTGACCCCGCCTTGTCCCTTGACGCCATTACCAGTCTCCGAGGAGAAACAATGATCTTCAAAGACAGGTACCCGAGATTCTGTCACGAATTCTGCACCTGACAGTAATTTGCAAAGTTGTGTTTACGAATTGCCAAAATACCAGTAAAATGTCCAAAGTTAACAGCAAAAATAATAGACTTTTGGCAGTTTATTTACATATTTCAAGTCAAATAAATGATGGATAAAATCTTATATTTTAGTGGATAATCTTAACATTATGCAACTTCCTTTAAATTTTGGTGATAGTCTCTCTTCGAAAGATACCAAGGTAAACTAGAAATACAATTTACTTGAAAAATGGATATTGAAAGAAATTAAGTAGTCAACAGTTACTCATAAATGTTCACATAAATGTGTTTTGCCATGGTTAGTCTTTGATTTTGGTACATATGCTGGAATTTAAGAGACAGAAAGCTTAAAATCTAAATTTATAAAGAAAAAGGGTATGTCAATGTTCACTTTCTGGATTTCTGTATTATGCTTGTATAGTCATCCATCCATTCATTCATTTATTGCTTCCTCATGCGTGGCCCAGTAGCAGTCCCACTGCCTCTATTAATGACTAACTGCACTGTTCCAGGCATTTTCTCACCTACTGTTTTCCCTAGGCCATGAGATCACTGAAAATAGAATCCCTGAAATTGATGCTTTCTCTCCAAAGCCCAACATAATTCTTGGCACATTTGCTTCATACAAAATGTAAAAAATTAAAGAAAATACGGTCTCTGCTCAAAGAAGACTCAGTCTTTACAAAGGCTTGTGACATTTTAAGCCTGTCTATCCTCAGCAAGCATTAAAAATGTCACAACTTACAACCAGAACTTAAAGGAAAAATATGGATTTTTTTCCCCTTCACGAGTGCCAGGATGTGGTTGTGTAATCTGTAAGGCTGTGGAGAGAAATGGCTAGCAGGATTGAAACACTGAGTGTGAAAATGTCATGAAAAAAATGTTCTGGTTTTCCTCTTTCATTAGATTCTTCTGGCGCCTGCACCCACAGCAGGTTGATGCAGAGCTATTTTTGACAAAATCATTTTGGCCAGAACTTCCGAACCGCATCGATGCAGCATATGAGCATCCTTCTCGCGATCGTATCTTCATTTTTAGAGGTAAGGCTTCCACAGGCGAGGAGAGGGATTAACTTCCTGTTACCAAGGATTTCATGAAATGATTATTGGTGAAATTACACCTTAATTAAGAACCGATTGCTTCTCAGCCTTTTGGCTAAGATCAAGTCTAAATTAAGAACCTAGAATAACAAACAAAAACTGGACAGCATCAATTCTACCAAATACCCCAAATTTGATATGTAAAAGGTCTCATTCCTATTTATCATATTAATTTGTTGCTTCATATCAGTCATATATCATTTAAAGTTTGTTTGTTTCTCTTAAAAATTGTTCACTGACAAAACATAACATTGTGTACTTTGGAAAAGTGAAAGAATATTAACTCTAGTTCTCTGTAAATGAGTTAATTTCATTTTCTCTATTTTCTCGTTTTTCACCATGTTGAAATATGTATTTTTATTTACTTGACTTCAAAACATAGATATATTTTTTATGTTCTATTTGTTTGTGTGACATAGAATCATGGAAAATTTCCCGAATTGTTGCTGTGTTTTCATGATTATATTTTAATATCATGTGTACATAACATGGTGACATCATTTTCATTATTCAACTATTATATATGTTATGATGAAGTTAACTTTCCCCCTGACATTGGGGAATACACTTACTACCATCTCAATGAGCTGCATCCCCATCCCTTTTCATTTTGAGGCAGGGTCTCTTTGCATCACCAAGATGTCCAAGGAGTCAACTTGGAATCTTCTGCTTCAACTAAGAGTTCTGGGATGCCAAGCATATGCCATCATGCCCTGTTACAATGAAGTTATTTTTTAAAAAAGCAATAGCTTACTAACTGATATAAAAGTTGAGTTTCTAATCTCTTTTACTGTTTCTATGGTTCTATTTATTCACATAGACATTTTAATGTATTTTCTACTTATTTCAAAACAATATTCAATTATAAATTACCAAATTAATTGTGATATCTGATTGACTACATTCATATTTAAGGTATTAAAACCTTAAATCTGATATTTTTTCTTTGAGAAATACTCAGATTCTGAAGTTTCATAAACATTGTGTTGCACACACTCAGTATTATTTTTCTCATAGTCTTCCTTTATTTAAGTAAACATCTACATCTGAGTCCTAATAGATTCCCTTAGATACAATTTTTTTCTATTATTTATTCTAGGAAGAAAATTTTGGGCTCTTAATGGTTATGACATTGTGGAAGGCTATCCCAAAAAAATAGCAGAATTGGGATTTCCAAAAGAGATTAAGAGGCTAAGTGCCGCTGTTCACCTTGAAGACTCAGGCAAGACTCTCTTCTTCTCTGGAAACCAAGTCTGGAGGTATGGCAGCAAAACACACTGACCCTCTTTGTGTCACAGGGCAAAGTGAGCCCCAAACACGTTTCTAATCCAAACTATCACCTCATATGTTATTTTCAATGTCATGCCAGACATTTATTTCTTTTTTATGTCAGAAACTTCTCAGAAAGCTCAAGTTTGTGTTTAAAAGTCTCACACCCTCTAAAACACACACACACACACACACACACGACACACGCCTACCTGTTTCACCTGTTCCAACCATTGTGTTTTCTCAGCTATTTATTGTACCTCAATCACAGCAAAACCACGCTCTTTTACTTTGGTGCCATGATTTTGCCTGATCTTTCTCCTGGCTCCTACTTCTTGCCCCTCTTCTGATTTGCATGTGGTTCAGTTTTCAGCAGTTAGAGAGGGTATGAGAATGGGTACAGGTAAAAACTGGTTGAGAAAGGGCTCCCTGTTTGCAGAGTTGGTTGATCCACTAGACAGGTGGCCTGGAAGGTGTCAGTCCCATAGTTTGTAAAGTGACATTTTCTGAAGGGCAACTACTTAAACCATATGTAGAGATTCAGGCAGCACTGATATCAGTAACGTTTAGAAGCCCATGTCCATGCTTCTATGAAGGAATGGCAATGTATGCTAGGAATGCAGCGCTTGAAAGGTTTAGTAGGGAAGCATTCCTGAATGTGGGGAATATATATTAACTGCACGCCTCTTCTTTCCTTTAACACAATCAAATGCTCCTATAACTTTTTAGTGCAAAAAATTAAACTTAAATGGTTTATTACTGAACTTAGAAGCTATCTGATATATAGTGAGATCAATAGTTAATTGGTCAATGCGTAAACATTCATTTTATTTTAAGAACACTTTCTCGGTGACATGCTTTTATAACAAGCACGTAATTTGCGAAATGGAAATGAGGGCATGACAATCTTTACAAAGATGGCTTTTAAACAAGTCACCAAGTGCTCATCAACACACTCAGTACCCTCAGTATTGCAAATCTTATGAGATGTTTTAAGGGGACTTAAAATTTTAAAAATTCTCACTAATTTTAAAAGGTGCTATTATAACTATTGCATTATTTCTACAGCTTTTTTTTTTCCTTTTGAGATTGTTTCACCCTTGCCAAGGCTGAAAGTTCTCCTGCCTCAGCTTCCAAAGCAGCTGGGATTTAAAGCATATACTACTGTACCTGAATGAAGATAGTTTTTAAGAAATACAACTTAAGAGTTTATTTTTTTTAAAATAGATATGATGACATTAATCATGTTATGGATGAAGACTACCCCAGACTGATAGAAGAGGTCTTCCCAGGAATTGGTGATAAAGTGGATGCTGTCTATGAGAACAATGGTAACTACTTACATTGCATTGATTTTCAAGAAGGGCTTTTTCTGTAGCACCTCACAATTTTTTCCCATACAAAAGATTTTAATATAGTACTTAGATGTACTAATAATTGTATAGCATTTTAAGTATTAATTGCTTTTGTGTGACTATACAAATAGCAAACCAAAAATAATCTGTTTAGAATAAATAAGAATTTTACTCAAATATTGCTAAGTATATGAGTATAAGGTTTAGCCAAATATTGCTAAACCTTAAACATTACCCTATTTATATGTAAAGATGCCAAGTCCAAAGGGTATTGCTAGAACTCACTCGAGGTGCGGAGTGGAGAACCATTTATATGTAAAGACTTGTAACTGTCATAGGCATTGAAGATTTTTTGCTTTAATTATGAAAAATGTATTATCATTAACTTGCAAGTGACTTAATATCAGATTTTCTAACATCAAAACTGGAACTCATGGAAAAATTATTAATTCTAGGTAATAAGTATATCTGGGAACATTTATCCCTTTTTAAACTATAAGTAATATATATCTTTTACTTTTATTAGTCATGTTTGCTTACATAATGATTACATTCACTGTGGGGAATTGGTACATGTACGTAACACATTTTAATTCTTTTTTCCCCTTCCCTTCCTTCCCTCCCCCTTCTATTTTTCCAGCATTGGGCTCCTTTGTTTACCTTATAAAGTCTTATAAAGTTAATTATCATACACAGATTGAAAACCAAAATAATAGGGCAAAGAACACATAAGACAATTATGCTAAGTTGGGGTATATTTTTAGATACATTGTCTGCGCTGGATTTCAATCCCTTTTTCCCTCCTTTTCCTGTTATTGAGTTTTTCCTATAAAAACTATAAGCAATATATTAAAACATTGATATGATTTTAAAAGGTAAGAAAGATAAAGGTTAGAAAGTTAAAAACAAATGGAGTCTAGCAGATTGGATCTTTAATATTAGCTTTATTAAAACCTTATTATTCTCAAACTGAAATTTTCCTTGTGGTCTTTTTCTTGTAGGTTACATCTATTTCTTCAATGGACCTATACAGTTTGAATACAGCATCTGGAGTAACCGTATTGTTCGAGTCATGCCCACAAATTCTCTGCTGTGGTGTTAAATGTCTTTTAAAATTGTTATTTAAGTCCTGGAGGGCATTTGGGCTAATACTTCCAGAAGCACTGGGGCAGCGGGTGGGAAGAGATGGCAGGGGAGAGCTTAGTTCTGTGAACAAGCGTCAGTAAGTTATCTTTGAGTATGCAGTATCTATACGACTCTGCGTGGCTGGGACCACAGTGGAGAGTTTTAATGAAATACAACTCCAGGAATCAGCTGATTCTGGTGTGCTATATAAAAACAATAGCAGATGCTATATCCCACACCAAAATGGGATAGATGGTCAGTCAAGGAGAACATGGTTTTTAAATATATTTATAAGGACATTTACAACGGCATAAAGGTAAATTACAATTATATAGTTATAAATCATCATTAAAAATATGAAATAGTACAAATGGAAATTTATGGAGTTATGTGGTAGCCATACATGAGTTAGATAAAGGGTAACATCTGTGATAAATTTGTAGACACCTTTTTGAAAGATAATTTAAGTTTTTGCACTGAGAAGATTCAGTTGTACATGCCCCTCTTCACCCAAACTCTAAGAAACTATTAAGTCATCAAAGAAAGGATGGTATATGTGGCTTTGGATTCTGTTCAATTTCTACTTTTGCTAATGACTCAAGGGCAGCTTTCAAATAAGACAGATATTCTTTTGCACATTGATACACAACAAAGAAAGAAATTCTTTTTATTAAAATATTTCAGATCTTTGAAAAGTTATACTCTAAACATTAAATTTATTAACAAAATAATTTAGATGATACTATCACTTTTTCATAATCATTTGACTATTTAACATTAAAAGTATTGTTTTGACCTAATTATTTTCAATGTCCACTTTACCTTGGATATATAGGCTATTTTCTAAAAACTAGTGTAGAACAAAATAAAGTACATCTTATGAATTACAAGTATGTATGTTAAAACAGAGACATGCAACATAAAGAAAGTAGTCTGTTACATTGTAGTCCTCTTGAAATACAGAGCCATTTCTATTCTTTTCTCTCTTTCTTTCTTTCTTTCTCTTTATTCTTTATTTCTTTCTCTTTCTTTTTTCCTTCCTTCCTTCCATCCTTCCTATTCTCTATTAAATTCCTTATCACATTTCAAGCCTGGACACTTGAGTACTTGCCATTCATTGCCTGAATATGTGACTGGGCACCAAAGGAAGAGTTATTGGACCTAGAGATCTTGTTCATAAAAACTCAGACAGAGAAAATGAATTGTATATTTACATAATGTATTAGAAAGTATGTATGTTGTTTCTAATAAAAAGGATATTTTCAAAGATGTGATTTGAAGTTCTCAAAAATTTACAAGTTATTATTTCTTTTTTTTATATCATTATTTCCTGAATATACTTTCCTCCTTCTTCCCTTATTCCCTCCCCCCAAATTCAGGATATAAAATTAATTGTACAGATTGCATTAATCAAGTTCTGGTCTGTCTAGTTCTGAGGAGACCTTTCTGGGCCAACTTCCCTAGGGAGAGTCAGCACATTCCTCAGGAGAATCGACAATATATCTAGAGTCAAGATAGAGTTATGTCTCCCCTCCTCTGAACTATGCTCTCTGACTTTGTGCCAGTCATTTTATCTCGTGGGTCTTACTTTCTCTGCAAAACAGTAGGATTGACAGCTCGGTGATTTGGGGGAAATATGGTGGTGTCAAGGGTCTCTAATGAGAGAATCCAGGCTCCCCCAGGCTTAAATTTAGGTCCCTTCTGTTTTCCTAAGCTTTGTGCTTCCTCTATACATTTAATAAGTGTCTGTTAAATACCATTTACTCAAACAAATAAAGTCTTAATCTCAATCTCCTATAAAGCTGTTGTCCTACTATGAGATAGAACTGTAAGACAATTAAGTTTGAACAGTTTTGTGCTCCTTTAGGGGAGAAATAACCTTATTCTGTGGGAAGAGAGGACTGCTGATTTCTTCCTCCTGTATACCTCAAACAAAATCTGCACAATTTCCACCTTCCTTGACAATATAGCGGGATTTCTGATGCCTAAGGTTTACAGCCAGGGACAAGAGTATAGTACAGCCTTCCAGGTCACCTCCAGCCAGAGTTCTACCTCTTAACAGCATTCAGCTATGAACTCACCATACTGTGGTGGAGAAACCGTCTTTACAGAGTAGATTTACCTTGGCTTGAACATGGAATATCATGTACTTTTTGCATTAGTCAAAGCTCTCTTGAGGAAAAGAATAGAATGAGAGGATTGATTAGATTGACATACATGATCAGAGGCTGAAAAGGCCCACAATAGCTTTCTGTGAGGTGGAGAGTTGGGGAAACCAACTGCTCAGTCTAAGAAGCCGGGAACCTTGGAACAACAGGGATCAGTGATGCAGCCCCATGCAAGGGTGCAGGCCTGAAAGCACCCTGAAGTCTCTGGGGAAAGTCTACAGTCAGAGGCTGAAGTGTCCACTGTCTGATGTCTGTGGTCAATGGCAGCAGCAAAATGCACCTGCCCAAGAAGGCTAATGAGTATTCATGTGATTTCTCTTCTTGGCCTTTAATTTCTTTTGAATCCCCAACCTGTTGGCAGTCCTGTTGGCAGTCCTGCCTACCATCAGGCCACGTCTTCCCCACTTAATCCACTGACCCACATACTTAATGCCTTAATATCCCTAACTGAACTGTGATTTACCGATTTTGTAGGTGTCTCTTAATCCAGTCAAATTGACAACCACGGTTAACTGTGATAGCTCTTTTTCCCTCATTTTAAAACATGTTTAACTTGATTTTAGAAAAATGCTCCCTACTTGATTTATCATTTGCTGGCTTCTGTCTGTCTGTCTCTCTCTCTCTCTTTCTCACATAGACACTGACTAGATAGAGACACATGGATAGGTATAAATATATAAATACAATAAGAGGTCAGGATTACCAAATCCAAATTTCCAATATGACTGGATCAAGTCCCTTCCCCTGTGGTCAAAGCATCAAAATCAAATTATGCCAAATAGTTACTGGGAGCTCATCACTGGAATTTGGGAATTTACTAGTTAGTCGAGCAGATGATCCTAGTAGAACCTTTTGTGACACAAATTACAGGTAAAATACAGATAGTTTGTTTCCACATATAGTCCTGAATGCTATCAAGAGACCAAGTAATGTATTTTTTTATTAGAAGTGGTGCCATATCCACAGAGGAGCTTCACTAGGCACTTAAATTGAATGACAGCTTGTAATGGTCTCTTTAGCAGCTAATGAGAATTAGAAGTCTGAAAGATACCACAAAGTTCACGAATAGCACAAATGTATTTGAAACAGAGGAAACTGACAGGTCTTCTAGTGATGTAATAATTTTTGCCCTTTTATACTTGGAGAATTTTCATGTTAAATTAAAAATACTGTCCTGGATATGCATAAATTCAGTCCAAAATAAAAACAACTCAAATATAGACGGCCTTATGGAAAGATAGCTGCTAGACAAAGCTACCAAATTTAAACTCTATGCACACAGTGTGTATCTTGATTTTAAAGATTCATATGAGAGTGTGTCATTTACAATAGTTCCACTAGGTGCCACCAGCTATGTTTTTTATTTTTTAGATAGGGAAATTTCTATTAATTTGAAGAAGTCTCAGAACAAATGCTCTGTTCATTAATGTGGGAATGAAGAAGTTGGCCAAATCACCAGTTGTGAAATTATTTATGTAATTGACTTTAATAAGATTTAATAGTTTTGAATTCAAGAACAGTTTGCTCCAGTTAGCTTAGTCACGTATGTATTCCTGTCACTTATCTCACAGAAATAACAGTCAGCATGGTGTGTCATGCCACCAAGACACACTGTACATAGCCCTTGGAGTTGAGGCTTGTAAGTCATCATAGGTCTCTTGGTGACAGACTCCAATGTAAATCACAAAATACATGAAAATCAGCATCCCACAATGAAACCAAATTAGCTCTATTACAGTAGCAAGAAGGAAAAAAATTCAAGCTACCAGGCATGATAAATCTTGTTTTCCAAATATAAAAATGGATAATTATATACCATCTTAGACAATGTCAAGTTTAGAGGAAAGTGATTTTTTTATTTTTTATTTTTTTATTGTAAAGAGAATAAAACCAGAAGAAATAAAATAGAAGAGACAATCAATACAAAACACTGAATGTGATACAAGACTTCAAGAGAAGGTAAAAGGAAACCAACAATGGCTACCATGGTGCTGCTTGCTATCTTCAAAATAACTTCCTATATCATTAGGCACAATAAAATCAAACAGAACAGAATAAAACCAGTTAAAACCAAAACAGTGAAAGCAATACAGAAGTTCAAAACAAGACAGTAGGAATACAACAGTGACTACCATAATGCATCTTATTATCTTCAAAGCAGTTGCTTAGACCATCAGACACAATAAAATCAAACAAAACAAAATAGAAGTCAGTCAATCAAAACATAACAATGACCATGATACAAGACTTCAAAACAAGATAAAAGGAAACCAAACATAATGCCTCTTGCTATCTCCAGAATAACTGCCCATACCATCAGGTGTAATAAAATCAAGCAAAACAGAAAATATTAAAGCCAATCAAAACAAAACAGTGAAAGTAATACAGGATTCCAAAACAAGACAACAGGAATACAACAGTAGCTACCATAGTGCACCTTGTTATCTTCAAAGTAGCTGCTTATACCATCAGGCACAATAAAATCAAACAAAACAAAATAGAATAAAATAGATCAAAACAAAACAATGAAAGCAATACAGGGATGCAAAACAAGATGACTGTAAATCAATAATGGCTACTATAATACAATTTGCTATTTTTGAAATAGCTGTCCATGCCATCAAATATGAAAAAAATGAAACAAAACAAAACAGGATAAAACCAAGCTAAACAGAACAATGAAAACAATGCAGTGTTTCAAACAGGATATATATTGACAATGGCCACTACCTTCCCCCTTTAGACATCTCCTCCCCTTTCACCTTCACAACATCTATTGTGCACTTTGGATTCCACTAACCCCTTTAGTTTTTTATACGAAGGAGGTAACATGGTGTTCACCCACATGGTTTCATCCCTAAGCATGATCTCAAATTGTATCCATTTACCTACAAGAGCCTTGAGGTTATCTTTATAGCTGAGTAGCTTTCCATTGTATAGAAATGCTGCATCTTTCTTACCAGTTCTGCAGTTGACAGGCAATTGTATTATCTGCTTTGCTTGGGTATTTACATTTGAGTTAAAGTCATTTTCTGAAAATTTTTGATGTGGCAGGTTTAGGGGATAGGAAAAATATGCCAATATTGTATGTCTTGTACTTGTATAAGATAAAGAAATAGAGTGACATATTAGATCACTTGATCTCAATTTCTTCATTTTACAAATAAGAAGAATCGACAATGTTGCAGATTGAACCATTAAATTCACCCTACTTTTCTCTTTTTAGCTTATTAGTTTTTCTACTGTTCTTCACATGAGAGAAGAGTGTTTATGACATTTATTATGTACTACAGGGTGTAAAACACAATTTCTTCTACTTACATTAGGGCACCACTGATGTGACTGTACCTGTGACCCAGTGTCAGGGAAGCTGGGTCTGTGTGTCTGTGCCAAATCCCACCAGGTTCTCAGTTTCTGCTGATTGTCTTCTCCTCACTGAGGAGGTCCCTTGACCCTGAGAGTTTGGAGAGACAGAAATTGAGGGATCTCTAGCTCAGCTGCGACAATGAAATATCTTCCTTGCCAGGACAACTTTAATTTTGCATCCAGTTTTGATGTCTTGATTTCTCTATTTCCCCTAAATGAGTTCCCCTTGTGCTGTAGCATGACAAAGTAGCTTTCTGTTTTATTTTCAATAACAAGTCCCCACTTTCCTAACACTCTGTGGATAACCTTTCCTTTTTTTTTTTTTTAAAGACTTTTGAGACTCAATTTAGGATTTTTGCCTCAATACAGAGGCCGAGTCCTGCTGTCAATGAATGGCTGTCTTCTGTTTTCAGAAGATACACGTGCAGCTATCTCAAATGTTACTTTTTCCATTCCAAAAACCTGATGTTTTCCTTCCCTTTCTTGCCCTGAACCATCACGATGACTCCTTTCTTTTCCCACAGGGAAGAATAACTGTCAGTGACACTCTTGCTCCACATCACTTGACCACCCTCCACCTAGCCCCATTCTTGACAGTGTCAGCATGAAAGCCAAAAACAACCTTTGCTGTTCCAGCTGTCGTTGTCATCTTTTAGAACTATGTATGTCCTTTGGTTGCCTCAAAACCACATTTACTCAAACCCGGTCTTGTGCCTACACTCGGAAGCCCCTCTT